GCGGGGACGGGCTGGCTGCCACTGAACGTACCCCTCGGTCACTGCAGCACGCCCAGGCCCGCTGCCCCGCCTTGCTGACCTGGCACCTGCCACTGAGAGGCACAGCTAAGACCTGAATCCGTTCCTTTTTTAGCATGCCGAGTGGACCACCTGCCTTTTCTCTTTTCCAGGTGGGTTACCGAAGAGCTGTAAACGATGGCTATGGCGCTAAGATGCTTCCGTCGTCTGCCTTCCCTGCTTTGCCGTTCTTCGTTCGCGATGACGCGGGGGCTGCCGCAGGCTCCTGCGCCCGCCCCGGCCCGGGACCGGCTGCGGGCAGCGCGTCCACCAGATGCTGCTGACCAGACAGCTAGCTACCAAGAAAGGTAACGGCAGCAGCCTTTTTCCTACTGTTTGCCACCCCTCAGTGTGTTGCCAGAATTTCTTTTCTTACCCCTTTTATCTCGTGTACCAGTATTGACCTAACGTAGGCAGAACGCGGCTCTGGAGGAGCTGGTTTGCCTGACGGTGTTGCAGCGTGCAGGAAACCGTAGCCCTTCCCACGGGAGAGGTACCGCCTGGAGCTGCTGCTGCGCTGGGGCAGTAGGAAGCGACCGCCGCAGTCCAGGCTGGAGTCAGCGCACGCAGCGTGACCTACAAATATATTTTGGCTTATGTGCTCAACTGCTGGGCTATTTACTCATTAAAAAATAGAGTTACTTCAGTTTGTCCTAGACTCAATTCTGAATCTAACAGGGGTTTTAGTGTCTTCTTTCTACTTTCTAATGCAACAACTAACTGTTGGCAGAAATACAAATTGATTTTATGTGTCATCTGCAGCTAAAGGTAAAGGGCAGAGTCAAGCCAGACTGAATATCAGTGCTGCCCTAGTTGAGGATATTATCAATTTGGAGGAAACCAATGAAGACATGCAGGCGGTGGTAGAAGCTCTGAAAGAAGATTTCAGCAGAAATCTCAGTGTTAGAACCTCACCAGGTTGGTAACTTTCTTGTACGATGCTCTATTGCCTGTAAGTAAGGATACCAGTCCCGGTAACAGAGACCTCTGATTTTTTTCAAAATTGATTGTCTTTTTATTGAGTTATTCACTGGACACCCCATTACTACAACCTTGACGTCCCCAACTAAAGGCTTTCCTCACCCTGAGCTTGACCAGGAAGAATCCATTTTTGTTAATAGCTTCCTGGAAATAGCTTTTGTAAGTGGGAGATGTCAAAAGTGTCTAACTGAACTGTTTGCAGATGTGATGAAGAAGCAGGTTGTCAGCTAATGGTGCAGTAGGGCAGGAAAAATCCAATTGCCATTAAATTAGCCTTTTGGAAATTGCCATCAGGCTGGTGTCTGGCATATACAAACTTTTTTTGCTGTGCGTCTTTGTGGTTAGTGACCTTTACAAGCCTTGTTCGCTTAGTGAATGTTGTGTTTTAGGAAGAAATGTGAATATATTTGACTAAGCTACAGTTACTATAACACTCTGAACATACGTATTTGTAAGTAGTGTCAAGTTTCAGGGATAAAATTTAACATTAAACAATGACCAAATTTGACTCATTCACCACCCCAGCTCTGGCAAGGGCACTTCAGTCTTTAATGGAGTTGGAAAGCGTGGCTCAGTCTCTTTAACTATTTATTTTAACCTTAGGTATTTTTTTTTAATTGCACTGATAAAGTACCTCTTGTCCCATGTGCCTTTTGGCCTGTTAGCATTTTGCAGCAGAAACTAGAGAGCAGATTAAGAGTAGCTGAGGGAGAAACTGAATACTTTAAATAAGGCAGCGTACACCACCTCCTCTTGGGACTTGGGAAAAAAAAATGAGGGGTTTAAGAGACCTCTGCTAAGTTAAAGACAACAGTTGTCTTGATTTTTATTACGACGTTTTGATTTTAAGTTCTAAGAATTACAAAATAACGATTTCCTTTTAACAATCTTGCTTAGTTTTTCTATTCCAGTAACAAAACCAAACCAGAGTGTTGTTTTCATGTTTTTCTGCTTTAGAGCAGCGTTGAAATATTTAGCTTGCATTTGCAAGGGGGTGCACGAACACAAACAGCACCTGAAGTCTGAATAAACATGTTTTTTTTCTTTTGTAACATCTATTTTTTGCATACCGGAAGGGAAGTGGGACGCTGCGTACGCGTTTTTCTTCAGCATCGCTGTGATCTGCTGTATCATACTGAAACTCCCCTGTGTTTGGTTCTTTTGAGGGGCCCTTGATCACATAATCGTGATGACAAAAGATGGGAAGTTTCCGCTGAACCAGCTGGGCCAGATCTCACTGAAGTCGCCGCAGCTCATTATGGTGAACATGACCAATTTTCCAGAGGTAAGGACGCATTACCGAAGGCACGGCGAGGGGAGATAATTACCACGGGAACAAGCAGGTTGATGCTGAGCAAAGGAACATTTAGACAAAAATCAGTCAAACCTGGCAGGAGTGAGAGCTCTGCCTGGGCTGCGTGTCGCTTTGCGGCTGACACAAAACAGAAGCGGTATTTTGCTGCCGACGGCACGGGGCGAGCGACTCTCCAGCCCTGCCCGGCGCACAGAGCATCTCACGTGCAGCAGCACAGCGTCCGACGGGAGTTCCACGCTGCCCGTCAGCCTGCGATTGCTCTCGGGGTTGTAACAAATAAATCCCACAGTATGCAGGGCTTGCTTTGGGGACTGGTTTCCCATCAGTTGGATCTGCAAGAGCTTGGTTGAAAAGCAGCGCTGAGCGTCTCACAGACCGGATGCTTGGATTAACTGTGCCCGGCCAGGTCTCCCCATTTCCCGTGCTTTTATGGCACCCAGTAGTCTTGAGCGCTCACACGCACACACTCTCTCCTTTGGTTCACCTGAATTAGACACGCGGAAGCGATGCTGCGTCTGCCCCGCTGTATTTATGTCATTTCAGTTCCTTACGAAGACGCGGAGTTGGAACAGTCTGTGTTTGTGCTGGGGACACCATCAGACCCCTCTAAAACTTGCTTACTTATCACCAGGGCTGGTGACACCCCCTGAGAGCTCACGGAAGAAGCTGCTGACGTAGCCGACGAGCTTCTGAAAAGCCTCCCTGGTAGGACGAAGCCGGGCCCGTGCTAAGTGCTGTCAGAGGGCCTGACTCGGGCACCGCCGAGGTTAGCGAGCTCCTCCCTTGGCAGCGCCTGCAGGTCAGAACCCAAATTAGGTGCTTCGACCTATCCTCCGGGAGAGCCGAGTTCCCTCAATTTTCTGCAGGAGCCTTAGTTAGACTCGCTCTTAAACAAGGCAGCAAATCTGAATCCCACCTCCGGATCAAGCGCCGGTGGTCCCCTGCAGCGGGCTCACGCAGAGCCGGGCAGCCGTGCAGATAGGAGCCATAACGAGCGCAAGGTTAGCTATGCATCCCGCTCCAGGTCTGGAGGTTTGCCAAAGCTTATCTCTATTTATTTTGCAAGGGCTTTCCCCAATTAATTAAGTCAGCAAAGTCTCAGAGGAGGTCAGCCTAAGGCACTTGATGCCTAAGTGTTTCTTAAAGTGAATCCAGCATGTATAATGGCTTTGAAGAATGAAGGCCCCTCATCAGCGAGTGCCCCGAGGTCCCTCGGAGTGCCGGAGCCGAGAGGGCCGGCGAAGACACTCCATGACTTAGCCCGTGTCCAAGCGGGAGCTCAGGCTGAGGAATGGGCACGTGAGAAATTAAATATCACACTACGCAGCATTGCCAAATTTACTTTCTAAGCCAAAGGACCGGTTTGCATTTGAACTAGAGCTAGAACTATTTCTGTTGATGCAGTTGGTTTATACCATAACTGTTCCATAGATAGACTGAACTCTTTAAAAGCATTACAGATGCGTTTACTTGATGTCATTATTTACAGCATATAGTCAGTACTTTGTGGCATTGAAAAGCAAATAAAAATGCCTGAAGAGTCTGGGAAAGAAAATAGTTATAGAAAAGGACTTGCAGGGCCAAATTCTGGTCGCCCAAGAGTTATAAAGCCAAACAAGACTATGTTTTTGAAGCGCAGCTATTTATTTCATGGGCCGCAAGAGGATGGGGGCAGTATTTTTTCCCTTCTCCTGTCTGCTCCAATATGTATGTTAAACAGCACAGCTTTTACCGAGCATTTCCTTCCTACAGAGCAAACACTGCCCGTAGAATAACACGTTTACATTCCTAACGTGCTGAGATCATCCTGGTTACATTTTCTCTGCCCTTGCTGCGTTCTAGAGGACGGCAGCTATGTCTTACAAAACACTAGCAGAGCATTCATTTCGTCCGGTGATGTCACGCGTCGGAGACCTAAACAAATACGCAGAGCTTTAGCTTGTGCCTCAGTTGACAAAAGCTGAACTTCAGAAATACAGTCTACTGCGGCAGCCTGGAGCGAAAGTTAACGATGGGAAAGATAACGATGTGAAAGAGTATCAGAAATAGCAACGCGCCTCGTAGGAAGCACCACGCGAGCGCCGCAAGAATACAGACTCGGTCTTGTTATTGTCAATGTCAAGAACGACGCAGCCTGGCAGAGCACTGCGGGAGCTCCCGGCAAAACTCTGGTTTAACCGTAAAGCCTGACGCTCTGCAAAGGCACACCAGTGCCCTGGGATGGGGAAGGAAGGCTTTTAATCGCTTTGCCGTTACCAGGCAAACCTGCGCACCCCACCTTTTAAGCGGAGCAGAGCGTCAGCCGGCGGCGATGGAGTTTTGAGAAGTTAATCCTAAGTAATAAGCTGTAAAATAAACATATTGCTGGGCACAGGCGCGATTTCTCAGCCAACTGCTAGTGCCCTGATGTAATGTGGTTAGGTTGTAGTGCCGAAGCGGTTAAGTTAGTTAACGTTTCTAAATTGGCACTGTGTGATTTCTAGTGGGAAACATTCAACTGGAATTTTTAAATGCTCAGAATCTTTCATCTCCTTCGCCACAGTCAGGCTATGCCTTGGGAATTTATTGTGGTTTCACTCTGCGTTGCCTCAAACCATTCAAATAGTTTCAAAGAAGCAAAACAGTTTTCTTTTGTTGTTGCGTCCCTTTCCCTCTCCCCTGCTTCGTGCCCCCCTACCCCGGTACCGAGTGCGGCCGTAGTTTCCCATTCGGTTTGATCAAAGCTCTCCGCACCAATGTAACTTCCTGATCTTACTGGTAACAGAAGTAAATGTTTCCATGTTCTGTGGAGATGGATTGCCAACTATTGACAGAGTTCTGGCATATGGGAATGATTATTTCCTAATTCCCTTTACCTTTTGATCTGTTTTACAGAGCACAGCTGCAGCTATGAAGGCTATAAGGGAGAGTGGCATGAACCTGAACCCAGAAGTGGATGGGACAATAATTCGAGTGCCAATTCCAAAGTGAGTATTGATGGCTGCCCGAGTTCATCATGCAAGATAACGCAGTAGGTTGCAGTGAGTGCCCTTCAGAGGGTAAGCGTGCACGATTGCTGTAATGTGGCGATGCAGCTGCTTTCCAAATAGCTGTATTTCAGGTTCAGAAAAAAAATCTGAGCCCCTAGAAGCATCTGGTGGAAGCTCTTCCAAGTGTCTGAGCTCTAAGTCACCACATTTCGGCATCTGCTGGTTGGTCTTATTGTTCTCTGTCTTCCTCCTGCAGAGGAAAGTTGGTCCTAGCTGGCTGCAGCACTTTGCAAGAGACAGCCAACGGCTTTTGAAGATGTATTGCCTTAATTCAGGGGCTGATTCTTTGCTGTCCTGCTGTAAATTCCTTGAGCTAGACCAGCGTAGAGCAGCAGTAATGCAGTCGTGAACCAGAAGTGTTAGGGGTGAATAGCACCTTGCTGCAGAGAACACTGAAAGGAAGCGATGAAAGAAAGGAGGAGGAAATTAATACCTTTGACTAAAAAAAAATCTACCCCTTTTCTCATGTAATACACATTGTGTAACTGTCGGCTGCGTGGAAACTTTGGTATAGGGCTGACGGAAAAGCAGGCTGCTCCTGGCCGAGGACAGAGCCCGCTTCCCTCGCCCATCGCAGGTGTCTCCCAGCCCTCGCACAAGGCAGGAGGTGCTGCCGCGTCAGTGCTTCACTTCTGATCAGGAGAGCGCTTTTGAAGCCATCCTGATGATGGCTGCTTAGCGTGCTTTGGGCTGCAGCGTGCTGGGGCCTCCGCCTGTGAACGGGATTCCTTTCAGGTGAGACTAAATGGAGAGGTACCCTCCGGGAGCGCGGCCAGCACCCCCTCGCTGCGCACGCGTTCGGTCCCTGGGACCGGGCTGGACCTCGCGTGGAGCGAGACCTCATAGAATCACAGAATTGTTTAGGTTGGAAAAGACCTTTAAGATCATCCAGTCCAACCATCGATCATCCAGTCCAACCATCGATCATCCAGTCCAACCTCCAGCAGCTCCGCTCGTACCGTGCTGCGCAACTCGCTAGCATAGACACAGCCTGTAACAGGGGCGACAGCCCCGCTCTGCCCGGGTTTGGGAGGCGCAAGGAGAATTCACGAGTTCCCGCGGGTGCTCGGACCCTGCGGCGGTGGAGCCGTCTAAATGCCTCGGGCAGCTGCGGACTTAGGCGAGCTGACGCCCTGGGGTTAACGCGGCGCTGGGGGGCCGCCAGCAGCTCCCACAAAGGGTAGGGACGGCTCCCTGCGCTGCCTGTGCGCGCAAGCGCCTTGCACGTGCGCTGCGTTTTACAAGCGGGTGACTCCTCAGTAAAGATGAGCCAAGTATTTCTCGTGCTTTAGATCCGCGTTAAAGATTCTGTGGAATTTCAGCTAGCATTTTGATCAGAGAAGTCTAATTGCAGCTTTCTGTTGCTGCCGGTGAGAGGGAGTGACATTATCGTTCTATTTGCTGATTTTCTTTTCCCCATGCTCCCTGCCCTTCCCCCATTCCTCAGGAGAGGAGGCAGAGGAGGAGGAGGGCACCATTATCTTCATAATTGCTGAGGCTCCCGGGTTGCTGCACAGTGGTTTGATTGTTAATGCGCACTTGGGTCATCCTTGAATATGAATTGCAGGGGAGGAAACTCCAAAACTGCAAATCCCAATCTTTTAAAAAAAAAAAAATTGTTTTTTAAACAAATGTGTGCGCTCTGTTGCTATCTTTTGCGGTGCTGCAGAGCAAAAAATGAGTCTTCTCTCCCCAGGGAAGGTCTGCCTAGCGTGCGCCCTTGTTCCTGGGGTGTGCAAGGGTTGCTGCTCCTGGGCCCTTTCTCCCTGGCTGGTTGGCAGTCCGGGGAGTCCCGAGTAAAAGAGTTTTTTGGCCTGGGAGCCGTGCCCCAGGTCTGCCCTCACAGGCACCTCCAGTCCCGTTTTCTCACCCGCTCTTTAGTAACACGACCGGGTCTTTCGGAGCTTCATCCACTTCTCAAAAAGACAGGCAGACAGTTTCAACCTTTTAAAACCTTCTAATGCAAAGGGGTGGGGCGGAAATAATCAAATTCTGCTAGACGCCTCTCTTTAATATTATATCCCTGAATTACTTTGTAAAATTTTCTAAGTTTTTCATTTTTCCCAACTCTAAAGCTGTTTACGAAAGAATATATGCCAGGCAGATGCAGTGAAATTGCCAACGTTAGGGCAGGTGTGCAAAATGAGCAAACAAATCGGAAATGAAGAGACAATATTGCTTCTGCAGACATTGGTTCTTTCATGAGGGGAGGCCCAGTAAAAGTAAAATCAAACCTGAATTGTCCTTGCCTGTTATTAAAAACACTTTTTAGTCTGACCCATCAGCTGGACACACATGTCATATTTTGCCTTATGCAGCTCCAGCGATGCTTCAGTGCTTGAGAGCGTTTCAACTGAGCATTTTAAAATGGAGTTTACTTTTTAGTATTTATGCTATTAGTTGAGTTTTTGCAATGCAGTTCTAACAGAAAAAGTACACGCGTTTCTTTCATGTTTACTTCTGCTTCCTGCTAGGATCCCCTCTGCTCCCTAAGGCATTCGCCTGTTTGTGTTGCTAGCACTGCACAGGCAATATTTATTTGTATAAAAAGTATTCTCTGGCGGTTTAAAAAGAAAAAAAAAAAAATGAAGAAAACCAGCCATGGGAACATTTGTATTGGTTGATCTGGTGGCCGAATTTGACCTGACCTTGTGTCTTTTATGGTGTTGCCTCATTTTTAGATTCATCTTTTTTGGACCCATTGTGTTACACTGGATATTGTTTGTAAGTCAGTAATATTTTTACACATGCTTTACTGAAAGCCAGATGACTCATTTGAAAGTTTAATGACTCACTGTGAGCTTTTTTTCCTTTGCCCTTTAAGAAATATGCAAAGATACCTACTATGGGGAGAAAGGACTCAAAAAAATCCATTTGAGAAAACCAAAGCTGTTTCTGAGCTGCGTTGCTCCGGATCGCTCATCATCACAAGTCTCTCGCATGCTTTTTGTTGAGCAATGTATGTTGCACCCTATGTTTATCTGCAATTATGCATGCAGAGTATCTAGTTAAGCCTACTTTCCTTCAACTGATCCCTCTCATTCACAGGAAATTCCTAGCATTTGAGATACAGAAATTACTCTTACGTGCATAAATGTCTTGCGTTGGAGACGAGACGCGGCCCGCGTCGTGCTCGCTGTGGGTCTGCTCCTGCCGTACGCGGGGAGAGGAGCATCCAAGGGTTGCAGCGCTTAAACCACTGGTTGCTGGTGGAAGCAGAAAAAGAGGAGACGTTATCCGTGGGGCGGCGTGCGTTTCTGAACGCCCTGGCACGTCAGTCCCCAGGCTCTGTCCCGATCCCGGCAGGGCAGGACCGTCCCCGGGGGAGCGGCAGGATTTGAGCCCGCTGCTCCTTGAGCTGCAGGGGAGGGCGGCGTTCCGTAGGGAAGAGGGGAGGGGGTGGCAGGCGGGGACCTTGTCCTTGTTCCCCGCTTCTGGCACCCCTTCCCCAGGTTCACTTCACGCTTTTTGTGGCTTTAAAGAGGGGGTAGGGGCGACGGTTACTAGACAGAAAAGAAAACATATCGAAGAACAGCTCAAAAGTCCCAGATCTGGGGGCAGGATTAAACAACTGTCCTTAGAAACCATGGGCCTGGCTCGTGTTGATGGATTCCTTAACCAGAAACAGCATCTGCTTGAAAAAAAAAGCGTCCGTTTCTGGCATTGTTGGTAGCATTGCTGAGAATTTACACACAGTCTGGCTGGAACATAAAACCCGCTGAGAAACTCCACGGCGCTGCGCAGTGATAAAAAGAAATTGGTGTTAATAAAGACAGACAAGGAGGCATGAAAGCTGTGACCCCGTGCCAAGAAGCATAGGAAATCTGGCAGCGCTGCATAAACAAAAACATTTCCTTAAAGGCTCGGCAGCCCCGAGCAGGCGAGCGATACCCTCGGCACAATTCACAAAAGCCGAGCGGGAGCAAGGAGGCGAATCGCTGCCGGCGAGCGCGCTCTCCCCCGGCTGAGGCAGCCCTGCTGCGGACGGAGCCGCCTCGCCTTGCCACCCAGCAGGAGATGGGAGAGATCTCCAGCTCCCTCCTCCACGTTTAGCAGCTGGGATTGACTCCCCCCCCGGCCCCCAAAAAAGCTGCCTGAGAATCTGACCTCACCCAGACCTCTGTTTGCGAGCCGGCTTTGCTGGTTTCGCATGTGCCGCGGGACCTCCGGCTGGGGAGATCGAACACGAGAAGCCCTAAAGGCATCGGTGTTGGGATGCAGAGGAAACCACAAATAACCCCGCTCGCTTCTAATTAAGTGTTCGGTCCAGGCTTGAGCCTGGGCTGACCAGAAGCCTCTCGCCACACGTGGCATCC